GCAGGGCAGTAACATAACATCCTCCACCTCGTCCAAGAAGAGAATGCCTCGCACAGCATTTTTTGAATGGTGTCCAACTTCCTGTGTTCACAATGCAGCAGGGCAGCCACTCGACATGGGATCCCAGAAGCTAGCCGAGATCATTGTAATAGCAGTGCTTACTACAGTGATTTCCACCTACCAGGTATGATATAGGCAGATTTATATTGGTCCAAAATGGACCACTGACCATAATGTTCCATTAGACTATGTACGGCATAAAGGAATCTCCCATGAATGTAAATTAAAGAAGAATTCCAGGTATAGATATTTTTACATGGTTACTTTGGTCCTGTTTGGACCAATGTAAATCTGTCTATATCATACCTGAACCCCAAGTGCATAACCTTACATTTATCAACATTAAACCTCATTTGCCACATAGTTGCCCAATTAAACAGTGCATTGAGGTCGGCTTTGCGTCAAATGCAAAGACTAAAATGGGATTTTTAACCTCTTCACGCTGGCCAAATGCAAATGTGCGGCCTCCAGCATCTAGACACCGAGCGGCCGCACATTTGCGTTCTATTAAAAAAAAGACATATGTGCTGAGAGCACACGCCTTGCGCGCTCCCAGCACACATGTCCTGTACTCACAGAAAGGTCCCGATCTCCTCTTTCGATCAGGACCTTTCCCGATCATGTGACCGCCATGACGGCGTGTCACGGCGGTCACATGACCATAAACCCTGCCCCGCCTCCCAGCTTCTGAAACCCGTAAAGGGCCGGGAGGCGCCAGTGCAAAGGGGTTAATCCCAGACCATATATTGCTTGTAAATATATTAAAAAGTAAGGGTCCCAACACTGAACCTTGGGGTACACCACTGACAACCCTAGACCATTCAGAGTATGAATCATTAACCACTACTCTCTGAATAAGATCTTTTAGCCAGTTGTCCAGCCATTTACATACAGATTTTTCCAAGCCTGTAGACTTTATCTTACACATTTGCCGTGTGTGGGGAACTGTGTCAATCGCTTTTGCAAAATCCAAGTATACCACGTACACCGCCACTCCTCTGTCCAAGGTTTTGCTCACCTCCTCAAAAAAAGAAATCAGATTTGTTTGACAACTTCTGTCTTTCATGAATCCATGCTGTCTGTTGCTTAAAATATTTTTTTCCAGCAAGAACACATCTATGTAGTCTTTTTATTAAACTCTCCAGTATCTTCCCAACTATAGAATCTAGACCTAAGTCTTATGCAGACATTAGTTTTCTTATGCCAATGGCTTCCAGCAATGAAAAGAAGGTGCTCTTTCACTGTGTAGGCACCAAACACTGGTATCTTAAATCCAGGTTTGTGAAAACAAAGCATTCTTTGACATAGGAGACTATGTGCTGTTTGTTCTGGATTATAAAGGTTTAGTGGTGTGATCTTCTGCTACATAACTTGGTAACTTTATATCATCCATGTAATGTTTACCTACATCAGTACACAGTAGAACACAGTGTGCAAGAAAAGCTGCTGATTGGCAATGCACATAAGAAAGCTATAACAAATGATCAGCAAACTAACCCATATAAGTACAATGCCATAAGGAGAGTCACTCAAAAACAATCTGTTCTGTTTACATACCATGCAAAACTGAAAAAGTAGACAAAAACTCGACATTGTATGCTATATTCACCCTCGTCTGGGGTCTTTTACCCCCTGCAGCAATCACTATGACTGGTTTACCCTTGAAACTTGTCTGCTTAAGAGCAACAACGCTTGACAAAACGATTTCCATTTTATTCTACGGTTCACATGGGCAATGTGCTGTGGCTTCTTGTGCCAAAGAAGTACAAGTGCTCCCTTGGTGCAGGATTGAACTTGGGGCAGGATTAGACCCATAGACTTTAGAAGAGACCTGAAAAATATGCATGACACAGGTTTTTCATATGTTTTTTATATTTAACAGTTCTTCTAGTAACTTGCTTTCCATTGGCCTAAACAAAAACACTTATTCCTAAAACCGTAAAAAAAAGTACGAAAAATGCACATAAATTAAAATTAAATAAATGCCTAAAGAAGCTGAAGCTCAAATGTGAATGTAGATAAATAGTGTCACTAGGCTGAAATACCTTGAAGCAAGGGAGTATGAGATGCTAACAAGCTGAAGACATTGGCCACAAAGAATGTTTTCACAGATGAATGCTTTTGTCTTTCTAAATGTGACCATGACCTACAGAGCACCTGAATGTTCCTTCCCAGCACAGCACTCACCTAGTCTACTGTACCTGTCCATACCCAACAGTCACCAACTTAGCTGTTTGCTGTACACCGTCCTTAGCAGATTCACTACCATGACATCATCAGGGCTCTTGAGTCTACTATCATTCCTCTTGTAGGCAAGGTGCAATTATTATCAATTATTCATAGTCATATAATCACAGTCCAATATGTAAATGCAGACCAGAGCTGGTTACCACAGATACTGGTTGCTAATTGTATATCTGAGTGCCCTGGTATCTGGTGTTCCAGAGCACTCTGTAAAAAATGTAAATGGACATGAATGCACCCATAGATGCCTACTACAGTCATTGCCAAAAATATTGGCACCCCTGTATTTCTATCAGATTGTTTACCGCTTTGCCCAGAAAATTCTTGCATTTACAAATGCTTAGGCATTCTTTTATTTATTTCTTTTGTTTGTATTGGTATGACACAAAAAAGTGGAGAAACAAAAAGCCAAATTTGACACATTTCATGCAAAACCCCAAAAATGGACATGACAAAATTATTGGCATCCTCGATTTAAATTTTGTTTCGTCTGCCCACAGCACATTCTCTAAAAAGAATTTTGGCTTCCTCAGGTAAGTTTGGCAAACTCCAGTCTGGCTTTATTATGTTTCTGTGTCAGCAGTGGGGTCCTTCTGGGTCTCCTACCATAGTGTCCCTTTTCATTCAGATTGCCACAAACAGTGGCCCTGTACCTGAAGATTAGCTTGAATTTGTCTGGAAGTTGATCGAGGTTCTTTTTCCACCATTCGAACAATCCTTCATTGCAATCTTTGATCAAGTTTTTCTTCTTCGTCCCACTCCAGGGAGATTAGCTACAGTGCCATGGGCTATAAACTTCTTGACAATGTTGCGCACAGTGGACACAGGAACATTAGGATCTGTTAATTGATACAGGTGAGTTTAATAACAAAATACAGGAGCATCACAAACTTCTTTTTTGTTTTGGTTTGTTTTGATTGTTTTGATAGTTTTGATTTTGGTTTGATTTTGTTTTGATCACAAACTTGAAATGCAATTATTTCTTAGAATTTCAATAATAGCAGCTAAAGTCTCATAACTCTCTGAGTAATTAGAGGCATCACTTCTTACTTCTTCCTAAATATAATTGTTTTTTTTTTTGTTTTTTTGTTAAATAGATTAAACTGAATGTACAATGGGTCAAACATCTTAGACGTGACATATTGTTTCAATGTACAATAACCAACATATTAAATAACAATTAAGAACATTTATTTCTGTAATTATTTTCATAAAATGATATTGCAGCATTCTATAGACATTGCTTGTGTAAACAGACCCATTGGTCAACATTTAGGCAAATGCTTAGAAGCAGGGAGGGGCAATGTAGAACTGTTAAATAGGGCCTTGTTTTTTTAAGGCCCTGCCTTTCAAAAGTCTACTTTGTCATTCTGGGTAGGTTTGTAATCCTTTGGTCAAAAATGGAAACCATGAAATGGAAGAAAGCTTTATTTTTTTGGCCAGATGATTAATCCCTTCATGTTGGGAGGATAAAACAAATCTTTATGCTTGAACACAGTTTTGAAACTTTGACACGTGTCAGTAAAACTTTGCATATTGTCACAACTTAGGGCATCCAATTGAATTATATATTGTTTTATTCAGGACAAATTGGACTTTCAGTTGGTGGTAAATAGTAATGGTAAACATCCACAAAACAGTAAAAACATTTTTTTTTTTAAATTTTACTCTATATTTCTTCCTATTACTGACACTAACTGACTCTGATACAGAATTTAAAAAATGTTTTTTTTAATCCTACCTAAAACACAAATATACATGTGTAGCACTACCCCCTTAAGGGTTGCTTAGTAATTTTTGGGTTCCCTGTCAGTCTGAAACTCTTCTTGAAAACCCAACCTCTTCTGACACCACCGTGCTCTTGTAACCAAAATAAATCACAACTGTAAAATGGACATACAAGTTAGTATAGACCAATATGAAGTTTATATTGGAATTAAAGGTAACTTGGTCAAACAGAACAAAATGACACTGATATATATAGCAAATATAATTACTCTTGGGAATAGTGAGCAAAAGTAGACATTCATAGTAAAGCAACAATAACTGTTAGCAGGCCTGCTTTCAGAAATAGTCAACTGCCTCCAATCTGAGGTGACTGCTGAATCCCCAGTGAACAGGAACATGCTATCAATAAACAGGTAAGCTGTGAGTCCTCAGAACTAGATGACAAAGATTAAATGTGAAGGAAAGAGAACTCTCCTCTGAAATTTAGCACTGTCCCTTTAAGAACATCCCAGTGTCTTCTGCATGCTTGTTGGGGCCAGGTTGGTATGAAGTTGAGTTGAGGTGTGGAATACAGTTTGGTAGGATGGTACACAAAGATAGTGAGAGATTTAACACTTTTCCTCTTGATGGTAGCGAATTAGGGTGGGGTCTCCTTTAACCACTTGCCTACCAGGCACTTATACCCCCTTCCTGCCCAGGCCAATTTTCAGCTTTCAGCGCTGGCGCATTTTGAATGATGCGGTCATGCCCATATGAAATTTTTATAATTTTTTTCACACAAATAGAGCTTTCTTTTGGTGGTATTTAATCACCACTGGGTGGGGGGTTTTTTTTGCGCTATAAACAAAAAAGGAGCAAAAAATGTGAAAAAAAGTTTTTCTTTGTTTCTATTATAACATTTTGCAAACAAGTAATTTTTCTCCTTCACTGATGTGCATTGATGAGGCTGCACTGATAGGCGGCACTGATGGGCACTGATAGGCAGCATTGATGGGCACTGATAGGCGGCACTGATGATGCTGCACTGATATGCAGCAATGATGGGCACTGATAGGCGGCACTGATGGACACTGATATGCGGCACTGATGTGCACTGATGGGTGGCACTGACTGATGGCACTGACTGGCGGCACTGCTGGGCACTGATGGGTGGCACTGCTGGGCAGTACTGATGGGGGGCACTGATGGGGGGCACTGGTGGGTGGCACTGCTGGGCACAGGTGGGTGGGACTGCTAGGCACTGATGGGCACAGATGGGTGGCACTGATGGGCACTGGTGGGTGACACTGTTTATCAGTGCCCTGATGATCAGTGCTGATCTGTTTTCTGACAATTTCCGGGTATCGTACTTTCCTCATGCTGTGACAGTGTGAGCAAAGTGCAGCTGATAACCGGCAACTGCATTTACTTGGAGATCTGCTGTGACATTGGACACAGCTGATCATGTGATAAAAGGCCGCTGTGATTGGCCTGTTACCACATCACGTGATCAGCTGTGTCTGTAGGACATGGAGAACGCCGGGTGCGCACTGCTGGGGGCACGCGAGAAGGCGTATTCTGGGAGGACGCCATATGACACCTTTCCAGAACTTGACAACCGCTGTTATTCAGCTATAGCGCGGTTGCCAACTGGTTAAAACAGCAAATGTAGGCAGGCTTGAAGTAATGAATCAAAACAATTGGCATAATTGTCTATGGGGAAAGACAGCTCCCTCTGAATATCAAAGACAAAAAAAATGAACAGTAATAGCAATCCTGCTTTGTTGAAGAAGGGAAACTTGTTGTTTTCAGTTGGCTGTATCCCGGCCTGGAAATATATGTCTGGTAGTCAGCTGGTACAATAAACTGTAATGCAGATGTATCTCAATGATGGCAGCTGCAAGATCTAGGCTACAAACTGGGGCAACTATACGTAATGTTCACACTTTGTCTAGGTGGATAGCTGAGGTGGCAAACTGTCAGTATTCACTTGGTTAGTGGGTGCATGGGTCTCTCTCACCCAATTAGAGTAGTTTGGCAGCTCATAGCGGTCAGTCCTTCTCTGCAAACGAGGTCAGTCCACAGACTGTCTGGCTTAGACTCGGCGTCCAATCTGTTTTCCTGCTGTCATATTGGCCTGCTGGGAAGTGTGGCAGACCAGGTGGTCATTAGGCTCTTTCTGCTCTTCCTCTCTCTCTAATCCTGGCTCTGTGGCCTAGTTCAGCACTTCAGCCGTCAGCACACCTCCTTCTCCTTCAGTCTCTCCCCCCACTCTCCTGGCCAATCCCCCAAGCTTCTGATATTTATATGTCCCCGCCCACACGCTACCCCTCCTGGGAAATGTAGTCCCTGACTGCCCTTCTCACCGAGTCCTGCTGTTCAGCATACAAGTTCCAGAGGGCTGTTCTGTCCATGTGAGTGATCCTGAAAGGCAAGCCACCACCAACCAATGTCCATCTTAACATAATACAAGTAATAACATTTCAATGGATTACACATGTACTGTATATGCAAGATCATCCCAATACGTTCTAGTCAAAACAACACACAATATATAGGGGACTTATGCACGCCCAGGAGTATCTAATATTGATAAATAGCAGAATTATTTCAGATAAAACATTACACATTTTTTTAATCCTTTCTTTTTAATCCCCACCACACAAAAGAAAGATTTCTTTTTTTTTCCAATAGCATGTATATGTATTACAATACTTAAAAAAGCTTAACATTCAATAGTTCAGTCTATGCAAAAAATGACAACATCAAATAAATAAAATATTATATACATAGCAACCCCCCCATCCCCATTAGGAAAAAAGCAAAACTACACTGACCTTAGCCACCTAGTGAGAGGGAAATATTGCGGAATAGGAAAGGAGGAAAGAAACAAAACACAATACAACAACACCAATTCACACCATACACCTGGGTCTTACCTCACATCCAAAACAAACACCACATCCAAACGTAGGTATGATGGTTGGCCCCCCACCGCCTCCCCAAATCCCCCGCCTGTGAGGGGACACACCAGGACAGAGGAGGGATACTTAAAATTTGCTTCCAATCTAAAAATATAAACAAAATAAACAACCCATGCTTACTAGCATAATATTTCATAAAGTGGCCCATTATCCTGTAAAAAAAGTTTATCCTGTAATATATTTAAAGTCCCCCTATGTATTGTGTTTTGACTATTACCTAAAACATTCTGACCCTGACTTTGATCCTAACCTTGACTCTAACACTAACCCTGACCTTTGACCCTAACCTTGACTCTTGACTCATTACCCTCACCTAGATCAAAACCTCATCTCGCTTTTTTTCTTTCTTTATTTTATACACACACATCTTTGTTTACACTTTTTTTTCTCCATTCAAGAGGAGAAAACAACACGGGGGCAGGCTGAATAATGACTGATCACTGTGATAGCCAATTAGAGGCTGTCACAGTTATCAGGTGAACAGGAGCTTACGGGCAGAACAGTGGCTAAATGGTTAGCACTTCCACCTGGCAGTACTAGGGTCATTGGTTCAAATCCCAACCATGGTACCACATGCCTGGAGTTTGCATGTTCTCCCTGTGCCTGCATGGGATTCCTCTGGGTACTCCAGTTTCTTCCCACACTCCAAAGATGTGCTGGCAGGTTAATTGGGTCCTGTCTAAATTGGCCCTAGTATGTGTGTGCATGAATGAAAGTTAGGGACCATAGATTGTCCCTTGAGGGTTATGGACTGATGTGAATGTACAATATATATGTAAAGTGCTGTGTAAATTGATGGCGCTATATAAGTACCTGTAATAAATAAATAACTAAGCTTCCCTGCTCCTGACTGTTAGTATAGGACCTGTAGCTCAGTCTCTGTGCTTGCATAGATATGCAGCTCCACAGAACTAAGATCCACTTCTGTGAGGCCACATATATTCATATGCTTGGTGGGAAGCAGCTAAACCAGAGAATTCTCAGATTGCATTAAAAAAAGTTGTGATAGTAACAAAATTACTGTATATACAAATACATACATACTGTACAAATATTAAATAATACAGAGTGTATATTTTTTACTTTTTTGGTTGTCAATGGTGATGTTCTTGTGGGCAGAACCAGGAGCTGAGGTACAGGGAGAACACACACATGGACACCAGTGAGAGGTATAGGTTCTTGTATGTGCAAAATTAGCGTGGCAAAAGGTTACAAGAGCATTGTTGGTATCACTAGTAGTAACACTTGTAGTAACAGGTATGATTAGCACTTCATTCAGACACAGTGCAGTCCTTGGCAGTTCTCATGCAGGCATTAATGGCACATGGATTAGTATAAGGCAGGCAAGGTATTACTTACTTGTACCAGCATCCAGCATGTCATAAAACATCAACTCAGATATGTAGTAGTGTTTCTTCAGGCTTACAGTAGGGCACAATACAGGCTAGGTTTGTTTATCCAGGACCGGATCTGCTGGAGGGGTGGCTGACTAGTGGAACTACAAGGCTCAGTCAGCTGTTCTGAGGGACTATAAGAAGTTGTCATAGCAGCTCCAGAACGGCGATTTGAAGGTTCCACTCTCAGAATATGCACCAAAGCCAGCAGGGCACTGCTATTTATTAGCACTGCTCCACCCATCAAAGGTCACCAGGGATTGCAGCGTCCAATCAGACAGATGCTCTCCCTGAGACACCTTTGGAATCTGTAGAGGAACAATGAACAATAAGCCTCCACAGAACCACCAACTGGATGGAGGACAAACACCAACACATGGCGAGACCTCAATGCACGGCTTAAGTGGGCAACTATGTGGCAAATGAGGTTTATCGTTGATAAACATTAAGTTATGCACTTGGGGCTAAAAATCTGCATGCATCATTCATACTAAAAGAGGAAGAGTTGGGGGAAGCAATGGTGGAGAAGGAACTGGGTGTTCTGGTAAATCATAGACTTAATATTAGCATGCAATGCCAAGCTGCGGTTTCCAAAGCGCGCAAAATCCTCTCTTGTATTAAAAGAAGTATAGACTCCAGAGAGAGAGATATCATATTACCCCTTTACAAACCATTAGTAAGACCTCATCTGGAATATGCAGTTCAGTTTTGGGCACCAATTCACAAAAAGATATTGGGATACAGGCGAAAGGGCAAACTGATAAGAGGCATGGAAGAGCTCAGCTATGAGGAAAGATTAGCTGAACTAAATGTATTCTTTCTTAAGGAGGAAATTGAGGGGGATAGAGACATCATGTATAAAAACATAAGTAGTCCATATAGTGAACTCGGTGTAGAGTTATTCACCCTGAGGTCATCATAAAGGACAAGGGGGCACTCTTTATGTCTGGAGGAAAAGAGATTTAACCAAACATGGAAAGGCTTCTTCACAGTAAATGTGGAGTGGTCTCCCTCGAGAGCTGGTTCTGGCCAGCTCTGTAGATTGTAAATATGGCCTGGATTCTTTCCCAAATGCACAAAATATAAATGGATAATTATATTTATAGGTATTAACACCAGGGGTATTTAATCCAGGGAATATCCGATTGCCTCCTGGGGAATCAGGAAGGAATTTTCCCCCCCACTGGAGCAGATTGGATTATGCTTTTTGGTTTTTTTTTACTTTCCTCTGGAACAACTGTAGATAATGAATTATGTCTATGTATGGAGGTTTTCTATTTGAGCGTGTGTTTTTTTTTAGTTTTGGTTGAACTGGATAGACTTTTGTCTCTTTTCAACTAACTATGTGACTATGAATAAATTCCTGTCAAAAACGCTAAGGGGGTGATTTACTAAAACTGGAGATTGCAAGATCTGGTGCAGCTCTGCATAGAAACCAATGAGATTCCATTTTTTTGTCAAAGACTAATGGATTGATCTGAAGTTAGAAGCTGATTGGCTACCATGTACAGCTGCACCAGATTTTGCACTCTCCAATTTTAGTTACTCGACCACTATGCCTTTTACCTTTAAAAAAACAGGCCTTGATTTAGATTTCAGTCTTATTTTCTAACAAGTGAAGCCAAGCGCAACATGTAATTCTACGCCATGGAAAATTATTTGGAAAGGAAATACTGACCTGTTGATGCTCTAATGTTTTACTATATTAAAATATTTTACTGACCTTCAGGATTGGGAGAATTTCCAGAGGGGTTACTTCACAAATCTGTGCACTGTAAAGGTTATTATACAACAAGAGAATTAAAATGTGTCTATTATAAGCATTATTAGCTAAATGTATGATTTAAAAAACTTTTCTATTATGTAAACTTTTTCTTTGATGTTGTTTTATGTAATAAGCGTTTTATTTTACAGAGCCAGAGGGAAATGAGTAAAATGCATGGTTTGAAATCAAGTGCATTTGACCAGTTTGTGTTTAACATGAAAATCACAAGAGTTGAGTTACTCACATGTGATCGAGAATCTGTGAATTTGCTATACCGTTTTCCAGTATTTACCACAAAATGCTCAAAAAGCTTGGTAAATACCGCATATAAAGACGTTGAACTCAGTTTACAGAATGAAATAAATAATTAAATGCATGCGGTAATTAAGCAGTGGTCCAGGCATGCAGTATTTAAGGGATGTAAAAATATCATAGGCAAATTTTGAGTAGTCTCTGCCTTTTCGGATCAGGTCTCTCAACAGTAATGCATAGAAACCTAAATATGGAAATCATTGGGGTTGATTTACTAAAGGAAAAACTTTTTTTTACATTTTTGGATAGAGTGGAGGTGGATTAGAACACCTGTCAGGTTTTTATTGTTGTGTGCGCCTGTGTTAGATTCAGCCTCTCTATTTGTCCTGTTTACCATTGTCATTGAAAGTGAAAGTAAAGGAAAATCTCACATTTTGGGTTGTTCCCAGAAAAGTAATAGAGGGGACATCTTCCATTGGGGATACAGATGGCAAAAAAAGAAAAAAAAGCTGACAGGGGTTATAACCCTCCCTTACTCTATCCAAAATGAAAAAAAGTGTTACCTATAGTTCTACTTTAAGGCAAATAGACTGTGCAATTTGCTCCAGAGATTAGCACATTAGGTAAAGTTTCACTTTACAGTGAATACCCAATCACATGCATGGGAAAAAAATGATTGGATGATGGAAGACATCAGAGCTCTACCTTATTTAATAAGCTCTGGAGCAACTTCACTTGCAAAGTGCTGTCTATGTGTCTTTAGTAAATCAACCCCCTAATTTAGTAAATCCACATCATTACATGTAGTAAAGTATACTTATTTTCTTGTTGTTTCGCCATGTTTTTAGAGATTTTTTTTGTGACTATACAAGCATATACATCGTTTGCTGCAAAAAAAACTCCTAATCACTGCAAACATAATACAATGTACATGCATACCACAATGGTCTAATCCCTTGTTAGAACATATATGGCAGCACAGGGTCTAAATGGTTAGCACTTTGGCCTGGCAGTAGTAGGGTCATTGGTTCAAATCCCAACCGCAGCACCACCGGCCTGGAGTTTGCATGTTCTCCCTGTGCCTGTGTGGGTTTCCTCTGGGTGCTCCAGTTTCCTCCCACACTTCAAAGACATGCTAGTAGATTATTATTATTATTATACAGTATTTATATAGCACCAAAAAGTTTGCTCAGCGCTGTACATTATAGTAGGGGACAGTACATGAGACAATACAGTAACAATACAATACACGAGGGGCTCGAGGGCCCTGCTCCTTGGAGCTTACAATCTAGGAGGGAGGGGATAGTGGTACAGGAGGAAGTGGCTGTGGGGGATGGATTGGTAGGAGGAGTGGAAGAGATTGGTTGTTAGGTGAGGGCGGGGTAGGCTTCCCTGAAGAGATGGGTTTTCAGGGTGCGTCTAAAGGTGAGGAGGGTAGATGACAGTCTGATGGATTGGGGTAGTGAGTTTCAGAGGATGGGGGAAGACCTGGAGAAGTCCTGGAGTCGGGCATGGGAGGAGGAGACCAGGGAACTGGAGAGTAGGAGGTCTTGTGAGGAGCGAAGAGTACATGTTGGGTGGTATTTGAATATCAGGTCGGTGAGGTCGTTTTGGGCAGTATTATGAATAGCTTTGTACGTCAATGTTAGTAGTTTGAATTTTATGCATTGGGCAATCGGAGGTCAGTAGAGGGAATGACAGAGGGGGGTGGTGGATATGGAGCGGTTGGTAAGGTGGATGAGTCTGGCCGCTGAGTTCAAGATAGACTGAAGCGGGGAGAGTCTGTGATGAGGTCCTGGGATTGGATCCTGTCTAAATTGGCTCTAATATGTGTATGTATGAATGTAAGTTAGGGATCTTAGATTGTACACCCCTTGAGGGTTAGGGACTGATGTGAATGTACTATATATATATATATATATATATATATATATATATATAAAGCACTGCGTAAATTGACAGTGCTATATAAGTACCTGAAATAATAATAATGTCACACTGTAGGTAGTGCAGATGCTTTACTATTCACAATTATTTTTAGCGCTATCTTCCCACTTACAAGTTCCCACTGACACCATTGATATTTATAGCTATCTATAAGGGGGTAATTCTTCCCAATGACCACAAGTGTAACAATCATTCTTCCTACTGAGCATCACATTAACGTATCATGAGTTGTAGATATAGCCATCTTTAGCAGGGCTCTCCTGAGACTGGAAAATTTTTTCAAAGGTTCCTCTGTGTCAAAAAGGTTGAGAAAGGCTGCTTGAAAGTGTAACTAAAGGGAATTTTTGTTTACTTTGGATAGGGTAATGGAGGGTTATAACCTCTGTCAGTTTTTTTTTACATTTTTCTTTGCCATCTGTGTCCCCATTTGAAGATGTCCCCTCTATTACTTTTCTGGGGAAAACACACAATTGGGGAATTTATTTTCATTTCACTTTCAATGATAATGGTAAACAGGACAAATAGAGAGAGCAAAAATCACACCCATATATAAATACCCATCTTCTACCAATAAAAAAGACAACATTTTATTTTTTATTGGTGGTAGAAGGTATTTATATATGCTTGTGATTTTTTAATACCATTTTCATTTAATATTTGACATTTAGAAAGATATTTTGTATTCACTTAATTTAACTTACCGTAGTTGTTTTTTATACACCATGTGTGTCCTGTGAAAGCAGCTTCCCTTTGACTGGCATTCTAGTCACCTTTTTTTCTGTTGCATTAATACATCTGCTGCAGGGACCACACTGGCTTAGTGATTTGGCATATTTCTATGGTTTAAACCATTTTACCTCTTTATTAGCAATACAATTTGACATGGGTTCTAATTCTTCTCCACTGTATCCATCTCACTGGATATCTCATGAGATATAATACAGCATGGTTTCATGCGATAACACATATGGAAGAAAAATATATTTGAAATATATTTAAAAATATTCTTCCCAAATATATTGACATATATTTGAAATACTACAATTTTGGCCATATTCAATATATTTCAAAATATTTCAGTAAATATGTATATATATACTGTATGTCGAAATGTGTTTTTATTAGAAAATATATGAAAAATATTTTTAAAAATACATTTCAAATATACTGTATGTCTATAAAAATACAAATCTACATTTTTGGAATGCATTTACAAATATATGTAAAAATATATGTTAAAATTACTTTTTTAGATGTTAAAAAAAATCTGAAGAGTATATTTTAAAAAAAATATATTTTTTAAAATATTTTTCATATATTTTGTAATATATAAAAAAAGCATTTCAACATGCAGTGTGTATATATATATATATATATATATATATATATATACTGCATGTAGGAGATTGTTGGACAAATTGGAGTAAGGAGTTCCAGAGAATATTTAAATACAAGAGGATCATATATTCTTAACTGGACTTTACCTTTGTACAGGAGCTTCTTGTAAAGCAAACTTCTTCTTTTTCCCATGACCTTTACAATCAAGCCCAATGGGGACGAAACACTTCAGTGGTGACAATGCAGGAAGCCAATGTGGCTGAATAAAGCATCTATGATAACGATAGCAGAGTGCGGCCTTGAAATCTATGTCCTTGTGCTAAGACAAGTGGGGAAGAGCTCCCTGAAGCCAGGACCTGGCCTTCTTTTGGGATTCCACAACAAGGTGATATCTGGATTTGCAAAGGCATTCAGTGAGCACAACGTAGATGCACATCTTTTGTGGCCATTGGCAAAAACAATTTAATTTTGTGCCTGGAGTTCAACTGTAAGCCAAAGAGCAATGTGTAACATAGTGTACCCTTTTAGTTGTTAAAGTTTTATGATCTGAAGTTCATTTCAAACCAATTCACAGATGGAAAAGGACACTATGTCCATTGCACAGACTCACAGCTGCAGAACTCACAGATCACACTTTCTTCATTTAAATTTAGCCACAACCCTTTTCTATAGGCCTTTTGTTCAAACCAGTAATTTTAACCCACTGCTGGGTTCCCTGTACTGTCTAGAAGCTCCATTTATAAAAAAAGGTACTTTGGCTGTAGTTCCATAGATAGGTCTTTTTCTTTGGCCTCACTGATAACATCCCATGCATGCTCAGAATGCAGAAAATCATCAAGGTTAGTCCTGGTAGGATTGATTTAAGCTGTAACATGTTTTATTGCTCACAGCCCATTGATATCACCACCAGGGGTGGACTGACAACTCATGGGGCCCCCGGCAATAGAGGATCATGGGGCCCCTGTGTCCTTGCCCAAACTCAAAAAAGCCTATGAAAAAGGTACCAGGGGCATCTCATGGGGCCCCCAACTGACCCCAAGCCCTCGGGCAGTGCCGAGTTTCCAAATGGTCAGTCTGCCCCTGATCACCACAGCCCACAGGGGCATGGATCATCTGTCCTACACTACACCAACCAGTTCAAAGTATATTTTTAAGTATTTTAGCAGCTCAGTTCAAAGCTACTGGAAACTATTTTGTACATTCTCCATCAGAACTAATGGTCAGAATAAACAGAGAATATGAATATTTGGATCATATATATGTTTTATGCATTCTGGGCCACCAGTAAAATATAACTAAGGTTTCAATCATTGCTTTTTACTAGTATAATCAGTACAAAAGTATTTTGCATATATTGATACAAAAACAGAAAATGTATCTAAAGCTGCAACTTTTTTTTGGAGTGAGGTTCTAACCATTCCCTTCTCTATTCAAAAATTAAATAAATAAATAATTAAATGGCTTTAGGTATACTTTAGTTTTAGATTCTGTTGAATATATCAGTGCACAGCTATAAAATATTAAAGATGCTTTATATAATTACAGTTCTGATCATTGTGTAATGAGTGGTTGTAAGCTCTTTCAGGTACAAAGTGTTCCAGGTAAATGTATATTGCTTCTGGAGATACTTTCTGTTCGTTCAGCATTTGTTGTCTATTCTAAACACATCTGTGTAAATGATCTGTGTGTATTCACTTTGCTGATTGCATAATTCTGTTCATTGTGTATGTAAGATTAGTCTGGATCTCATTATTCTCAAAATATTAAGACAAAAGAAAAATTTGGCTAAGGGAACCAGTAACCCTGTATAGAGCTTATGCATGGAAATTGATTATTAGACCTCCTTTGTATGTACAGTTAATCATGCCATTTCTAATACTTGCATTAAAATTTGTGATGGATATTGGAGTATATTAAAGGAAGCCTGTACTTTCAAAAATACAGACAGCCATTGCCGAACTTTTTGTTTGAAAATGCTGTTTACCCAGATGACATTTTAATCCAGTGACTTTCTGTAAATATGCTAATCAAAAGTTCTAACTTTACTCTGACTTAATCCAAATAGGTGAACATTTCTGTTTCTCTACAACATTGGATTTTTAAGGTACACCATGAGGCCAGAAAATTTCCTAAAAAAGCATATATTCCATTTGCACATTTTTATAAACCTTAACAAACCCCTAAACGTGCCCAAAAACATATATTAAGTTCAATTAAAATTATATATCGAACATACATACAACAACGTTCATAATTCTGGCATAGGACACCACAAAGAAACTAGGACTCCCCAATAAGATATTCTGATTACATCTTAAGATAATTGGCAGGGCGTCCTTCCTATACAATGTCAAAACCTTTCTCAGGTAGCACCACTTCGGCCGCAAAATGCATCGACAGCTGCATGGGTTGGTTGCCCTGCCAAATATCTTAAAATGTTATCAGAATATCAAGAACATTGTGGAATAATGGTTTCTTTGTGTTGTCCAATCCAGAATTATGAACAATGTTGTTTATACTGTATGTTCTATGTATGATTTATGTATTGTACAGTATATATGTTTTTGGACTCATTTAGGGTTCTGTTACGGATTACAAACAAAGATATGGGCAAATAAAATCTATGCTTTATAGGATTTTTTTTTGGCCTTTGGTGTACCTGTGTCATGACTCAAGGTTATTTACACTAGACTCAAAGTATTGACCACCAGGCAAATATAAAAAAAAGTGTATCTCTAAGCAAAACCTTTCAGTTTTGAATGAAGTGGGGAAGGGTTAGGCCCCACTTATTGTTATCTGTGTTCCCACTGGCAAGATTTCCCACCTATTTGTCCCCAGTAACCTCTGGCACTCATAAAAAAAGTGTGAGGAAGTCTAGAAACTATGGTTGTCCCCAAAACAAGAAGTAAGGGGAGATCTTCTGAAGAAGACTAACTCCCTCCTCATTGGCCTAACTCATCGCAAGCTATCCCCACTTCAGCCCATCATGAATGCTGCTGCCAGACTCATCCACCTTACTAACCGTTCTGTATCTGCCACCCCTCTCTGCCATTCCCTCCATTGGCTTCCCATTGCCCAACGAATAAAATTCAAACCACTAACACTGACATATAAAGCCGTTCATAACACTGCCCCAAATTACATCACCGATCTTGTCTCTAACTACCACCCAAACCGTACTCTCCGCTCCTCGCAAGACCTCCTACTCTCCAGCTCCCTTGTCTCCTCCTCCCATGCTCGTCTCCAGGATCTAGAACTCCCTACCCCAATCTATCAGACTATCGCCTACTCTGCTCACTTTTAGACGCACTGTGAAAACCCATCTCTTCAGGGAAACCTACCCCGCCCCCAGCTAATACTGGAATCCTCTACTCTTCCAACCACTCCATCCCCCACAGTTATTTACCTATTGTACCACTATCCCCTCCCTCCTATATTGTAAGCTCCAAGGAGCAGGGCCCTCTAATCCCTCTTGTATTGAACTGTATTGTTACTGTACTGTCACCCTCCATAATGTAGAGCGCTGAGCAAACTGTCGGCGCTATATAAATCCTGAATAATAATAATAATAATAAAAAGGACACTTGATCCAGGCACACCAATCTAAGAAGGGACAGGAAGTGATGTGAAACTCCCCCAATGGTATACAAACAGCAAAAAAACAAACTGGTAGGTGTTTTCACCCTTCTATCCTAGGCAAAAAAAAAAAAAAAAAAACAGTTTTGGCTGTACATACACTTAATGTGCTGGGAAAAAAAAGCAATAGCATTAAATAATATTGCTGTGTTTGTCAAATATACCAGTGTACAGTGTGGACAGGCTTTTTCTTTTTCAGAAGAATGAGTATATCTCTCAGAAGCTTAGCTTATTCCATTATTATCTGAATGGTTAAAATATGAAAGATGAAAGATGAAGAGAACCCTTTGTGCTGTCCATTGCAGTCAGTCTAATCCGGCTCTTATTTCCGTCATCTGATCTAGCTCTCTTTCCTGTTAAAGCAGGTTAGAATATTGAAGAAAAAATATAATTGGTAGCAATGACCTCTAAAGACAACCCAGCACAACCCTTGCAAAAATCTAAATATTCTTTCCTAAATTATTATAATTGTGCAGGAATACTTCTGAAATATTTACATTTGCCCTATTATTTTGCTCAATTTACTTTACATGTCAGACTCTAGCTGCTCATCACATTGACCTACTGAGCTTCTTAATGTAGAACAGGGATACTCAGTTGTTTATGGTACGACCTCAGCAATTCATTGGTCAACCGTTTGAGCACATGATAAGTAGAACTATAGGCAAAACTTTTTTTTCATTTTGGATAGAGCACAGAAGGGTTATAGCTCTTGTCAGGTTTTTTTTTCACCATCTGTCTCCCATTGCAGAGATTTCCCTTCATTTTCTGTCCCATAGCCAAACAGGAAGTGAGAGGAAATACCTACAAATAAAAGGAATTCATTTGGAACTCCCAGGTGACCAGAACTAGTGTCCCCATTGTAAGGTTTCCCCTCCATTACTTTTCACAGACATCAATAAAAACCTGACAGAGGTTGTAATCCATCTCCACTCTGTGCAAAGCTAAAAAAAGGTTTGCCTTTTGTTATACTTTAACAAAAATTTGTATAGCTACTTAACTAGCACTAAATAATAATCCAACATGTAGGTTGCTTTAACTGGGGGCCCTGTCCAGATGGTTCCTGGGCAGTGTTCCCTGACAATCTTCATTGTTCATTTGACAGTATTTAAGGTCCAGTGGGTAGAGTCAATTGTGTTGTTGTTTGGTGCAGGAGTGCAATTGAGGAGGAACTACACTCTTGCATAGTACACATATAGAGCCAATGCGTGAGTACAAATGGTATGAAGCTGTGTGCTCTCCTTCGAGGGAGTGTTGGAACTGATCCTTAGTGGAGTTGAAAGAAAGGGATAGCATAAACCCTTTCATTAGGGAAGTGGTACAATAATCTTCTACTTGAACTGTGTAAGCATTGGGTCTCTACATTTGGAGCTGCTTTAGCTGCTTTATTTTGACAAGGTACAAAGTACATTCCTGTGAAGAAAGAGCGTCCTTTGTCGAGCTTGTGACTTGATTTCCTTATAGTAAAATATTTTATACTCCTAAAAAGAAGTTGCAATCCTGTCTAATGCAGTGGTCCCCAAATTGCAGCCTGTGCGCCAAATGCGGCCCTTTGCTTGACTTCATCTGGATCTTGGGGCACTGTTCCTCCCACCGATCTGAGCCACTATCCATTCCACTGACATGAGGCGCTATTCCTCCCACTGCAACCAGCAACAATACACTATTCCTTCTACTGACATCAACAGTGGTCAACTATTCCTCCCACTGACACCAATGAGGAGACACTACTCTTTGACTGATACCAATGATGAGGCAGGTTTCTTTCCACTGACACCAATAATGGGGCATAATTTCTTTCACTGATATTACCAGTTGGGCACTATTCTTTCTCCTACTAGTCACCTGTGTTTTGTAACTTTTTTACTCCCACCAACCATCAAGCTTGAGACATTATTTACTTTCAATGGTGCTTGGGCATTTGCCACTATCACTGGGCTACAATCTGACCCTCCTAAAGTCTGAGGGACAGTAAACTTGCCCTTTGTTTTGAAAGTTTGGGGAACCCTAGTTCATTGGTTTGGGCAGTTCACTTAATGGAAGAACTTATTTGAAAAAGAATTGGCAGACAACGGTAAACAGTTTTGGGTTCTGTAGTGGTGCAGGTAATCTGGTTTTGTTGCTAGGTTGCTTGTTACCCTGTGTTCTCAAAGGGGCAATGGTGTGGGTGATGATTTTCACAAACACACTGGTTCTGCTAGGATAATTGGGTCCCTGCTTCAGATAACTAAGGGAGACCCGTCAAGATTGTGCTGAGAGCCTGGTGTTCAGGTTGCAGTTCTCAGACTACCTTGGACTGAAGTAGATAGGTAATATGTGAGGACCAAGGGACGTATTTGTCCCATTTTTTTAATTGCGTGTATCATCTGATTAAGAACTTAAAACTCTTTTTTTTTTTGGTTTGAGTCAAAATATTAGTTCTTATCAACAAATGGATCTAGCTTTTT